AAAAAAAAAAAAAAAAAAAGAGAAGAAAAGGATAAACTCGATGAAATTTTAAGAAAAATGAAAAATGACCTCAGTTGAAGTCCAAATCAAATCACACTCACCTGTAGGCCGTAATTGGAGAATCTGGATTGGCTTCTCTGGGCATCAGTTCCGATCCTCGGCCATCATTTATCATCTTTGAAGCCAAATCGATCATTGAAGCAGTTTCAGGGAGCGTTGCTTTATACTCCCGGTCGCTAACTGGAGCCTGATCAGCCGGTCAACAAGAAAAGTGTTAAAGAAACTAATTTCGATGAAACAGCCGTGTAATATAATGAACATTCAAATTACTGCTCATATATAGCGTGCATAAGCCTACTCCTAATTCTCACTTTTGCACACAAGCACGTGTGTGTGTGTGTGTGTGTGTGTGTTTGTTTGTTTTTGTGTTTTCTTGAATCGTGGTTTCAGAATTTACTGATACCCACAAGGTACTAGAACTGCCTCTCTGAGGTTTTGAATTTGTTTTTACAAATTAATCTCATTAGCACAAATGTAAAACAGAAATGTAGTGCAGGATGATTTTTGCAGTTTTAAAAAGCAAATCGTTTTCTACTAAAATTTCATTCTATAAGCCTAAACCTCAATGGGAACTATCGTAATCATCCAAAAAGGTTACATTAAGACAAATCCTTATCCATTCATATAACGCTTCTTGAAGAAGATAAAAAGTATATAACATAACTGGGAAGGTATTACCTGCAAAATGGCAGCACGAACTGCTCTTGAACATGCTGCATTTGTACGCAAGTAATAAACTATGTCCTGCACAAAGAGAATGAGCTTCAGCTACTTTTATGTTTGTAAAGTGAAACCATGAATACATCAGACTTTCTATAATTTCAGAATAAGTAAATTAAACCTCGGATAATCCTTTAACAAATTACCTGGCAGCCAGTACTGTGCCCAACTAGTACCACACCTTCGGAATCTTCCTTGTTTATCAGATAACTGATCAATTGGTCGAGCTCCATTGCATCCTTTGGCCAAAAATGTAATCATTAGAACTTCAGAAAAGAAAAAGTTACAACCGAGATATTGACCTGAAGAACGATATGAAGTGCATAAGATGCGATCAATCGATTCTATGGGATAATTACTTATATTATCCCTTAATTCTATACGAAAAAACTGGAAAGAACAAAAAGAAAAGAAAAACTAGTTATCATACAAAATTATATGTAGTTGCTCTGACATATGTTTCTCTTTGCAATTTCGAAAGGTAATTGGAGTTTTTTGTTATTAGGGTAAACCGATGATGTTGTTTGTGTAACTAATTATCCTGAATTATATTGATAAGAGCAGGATCTCATGGCAATAATTGAACAAAACATGTCTTTGCCATAAATAAGCACAATGAAGAAGATATAGAAAGTCCACTGACAATCATATCTACTGTGACCAGAGAATCTCACTCTATCAGACAAGAATTAACAAAGAATAGTTTACCTGTTTCAAACTTGAGATGCCATATCCACTATAGGAAGATGAAAACAGAAACTGAACTAGTGACCAATGCTCTTTCTCCAAAGCAATAGCCAAAGGCTCCAAATATCTGGAAAGTTCAGGATCATCTATGTCAGAATGATCTCGACAGAACAGATAATATGACTATTGCAGTTGTCCTCATTCAGTAACTTCCATTTGCAATATTTTCCTTTTCCTTCTTTTTGGTTTTTTTCGGATTTCACCAAATTGGTCCAGAAATTTTTCTGGAGATATTGGTTGGATGCTTTTTTCAGTTCCAGGATTTCATACTATCATGACAGATATCATAATTCCATAGCCAAATGTCTCCAACATGCTTTTATGCATATAAGGAGATCTGAAACGAACTATTGAAAAGATGTTTGAATATATTTGTTCCCGGACAATTGCACAAATGTCTATGTTAAAACATTTGAAACATAAGTGAATGACATACTCAGTGGCCAAAAAACCATCTGTCAGCCCACCAATAAAAATAACTTGCTGTTTGTAGTCACCTGTTTTAAACGCAACCTGCACAAAAAAAAAAAAAAGAAGAGAAAATGGACAGAGGATCAAGTCAGAAAGAAAACAATGGGAGTACAATAAAAATAAAACGAAATTGCCTCGTGCCAGTGACTTAGATCCAGAGATAAACCTGAACGCTAATGGATGAGATGGCGTTAGTTCTGACACACAAAGGGTTCAAATCAACTTACCGATATCTGAATTTTCAGATTCAATTTCCGGGCGGTACATTTAGCTGTCTAATTCTTACAATCATCTCAATATACATGAACAAAAAATTCATGACATCGGCAAAACAACAAAATAATAATAGAATTGCAGAGAATTTATGCAATTGTACAATACAGAGAGATCGAGCCATCAAAGAACATATGCCTCTTTGCAAGAATAAGTTCAGGTGTTGGTAGCTTTCAAGCAAATAAAAAATCCAGCACACTGTTCTCACACTCACTCACTCACACAATCACACACTCTAAAATGTTTTACAAAACTATTGTTTCTTGGATCTTGATATAAATCGACAAAAAAGTTCTGTTTAATGCAAAATATGAAAATATCCAAAACTATCTTATCTGCTTTTGATTCTAAGTCTGTTTTCACGAGAACAAATGACAACTAAGACAACAAAACATCTTCCTACTTTCAAGATGTTGAAAAGAAAATTCCCGTGATACACATAAGAAACGACTAATGACTCAAGATGGGATGAATATCTAGAAAGCAGTAAAGAGAATGTTCAATATTCCAGCCCAGGTCCCAATCAAACGTATGCACAAAAAAATAAATAGAATTCAGAGACAGTCAACAACCCATTTCGAAATTCCCTGCATTTTCAGGACCACATTTTCCATCTGAACTCCTCAAGAAAGATCAATCAAAGATCAATGTAGATCTGCAGTGCATTTCTAAACATCACCACTCGATACCAACTATCATCTATCTATTAATGCAATGCCAAGCAGCATCATTGCAAATGTAGCTCTCTGATTCAAATCATCAAATCTCCATTACAAATGAACAAGATGAATCCAAAATTCTGTTCACAATCCATTTCTCAATTTCAAAATGAACTGATAAGCAACAGAGACCTTAATTCACAAACCGGAGAGGACAATTGTAAACTAATCACACTGGAAACCTAATTTGATCCCTGATTTGATGATTCAACTACAGAATGATACAAGAAAAAATTAATACAAATCTGAAAATCAGACATTAGCACATTTCTTGAGTGCAAGCCCATATTCCAAAGCTCAAATAAGTAACACAACAGAAACAAATAAAAACCCAGAAAAAAAAAGCTATATCTCAATAATTTATCAATATTCTTCTTTTGCCTCACCTGAATTGGCTTCGGACCGTACTTAAACATCACCCCACGAAACTGGCGTTTTTTATTAATGGGTCCATTGCCACCTCCGACGCCGTCGACGGCAGCAACAACGGCGGAGTTGCTGGACATCTTGGCGGATGCCGAGCGGCCGCGGACAATGCCGGAAAACCAAGAAGTGCCGGACGACGCCGTCTGCGGAGCAGAACGCGCCGATGGTGAAGAGAGATTCATATCAGAATTTTCCATTGTGATACAAACAAACAAATCATTTTTCTCATTAAAGTGTGTTATTTTCTTTTTCTCTTTTTTTTTTTTAGATATTTGACTATCAATGAATATGTAATTTTTCCTTTTTTTGAACTATTTTATTTTGTTTCCGAAATTGGGAACTTGTAGTAAATTGTATAAACTAAATTAATAAATAAGTATTATAGTATTATCTAAAACTTATTTTATAGTATCTATTTTAGTATATGTAATAATTTATTATTAAACTAATATGTACTAAGTGCTACCAACATTCATGTATTACACGAGTGAATTAAAAATTTCATGCTTAAAAATTAAAAATAAATAGAAGTTTATATTTAAAATGTTAAATATTATTTCTTAAAATTTAACCTTTTGTTTTATTAATGATACTAAGTTTTTTTTTTCCTATTTTATAATAACGTTATTTCTAAATCACATTAGATAATAGATTTGACAATAACTTAGATTAATACCCAATACTTTTGTCAATTACAAATTAGGATATATTATATAATTTAATTTTTCTTTATGAAGGCAGATATAATTTTTTTTATATATGCTATGTATATTAAATTGAAGATTGTAAGAAATAAAATTTATCTGATATATCATGTATAAGAAATCGATATGAAACAAAAAATTAGTAAATTTTAAAATGTATTTAAAATTTAATTTGATAAATTATTTTATAATCTTCTTAATTCTAATGTGAATTAGTGAATGTATTTAAAATTTAATTTGATAAATTATTTTATGATCTTCTTAATTCTAATGTGAATGGGTAAACATACAAAGTTACGTGAACTACTTCGAAGTATGAATATGACATAGACATACAGGATTACGGAAAATTAAAAAACCACACATAAGATTACGAAACATCATAAATCAACACATGTAAATTAGAGAAACTCTGAATTGATGTGTAGGAAGAATATATGTTTACAAGGATTAGATCAAATGAGTCTCAATTCTTAAAATGAGAATGTAAGACAAAATTGGATATAATATGTAGTCAGGATTTAATTTTATTTATTTTTTAATTATTCTAATAATTGATTTACTAGTGGCAGCATTGATCGTTGACCAAGTTGACTGGTTTGCCCAGCGGCATAACTATATATTTAGTTTGTACATATGTATATTTAGTTATTATCAAAATATGCCATTGATTTCAACAAAATATATATTATAAATGAATTTAATATATATTATGTATAAACTAAATGTGCAATCTTCAAACCGACAATGCGGCTGCCGGTAACTCACTATTTGAATAAGGTTTGGTTTAATCTCAATTGATTATTATGAGTCATTAATTCTACACAAATCAATGACAATGATTGAGTTTCACATTTTCATTATAAGAAAGGATCTTATCAAAATTCACCCCTTATATTTACATATGATATTCTTAGGGTAAATTGCACTTTTGGTACCCAAACTAAAGTTCATTTCGGAATCAGTACCCACTTTTTAATAGTTGCAAAATTAATACCCAAACTTTTATTCCGTTTGCGACGTTAGTACCCGGCGTTAGTTGTCCGTCAAACAGCCGTTAGTCGTTAACGATTTTGACTAACATCGCAGTTAGGGTTTGAATGCCTTCATTTTTTTCCCCAATTTCTCGCGTTCCTGAAAAAACAGAAACCCTAACTTTTCAATTTTTTTCAATTCATTCATCAAAATGATGATCGAACCCTCAAATCGAAGCCCGATTTTAGAATTTCCAACTGAATTCTTCTAATTGCTACTCTTTTTCTCCAATGTTCAGCTCGATTACTCAAATTGAAGCCCGACTCTTCAAATTTCAACGCGATTCCTGAAATTGCAGCTTGAATCTTCGATTTGCAAGTAAATTCCAGTAATTGCCGCCTGTGTATTTCAAATCCCACCCGATTATTGAAATTCCAAATCGATTCTATGGCGAAAAGAGATCGAGCAGATACGAAAGGGACTCCAGTATACGGTATGTTTCATGTAAATTTTGCTTTAACACTACTTAAATTCATGTAATATGCTCGATTTTGCTTTAACACTGCTTGAAAATAAGGTTTTAATTTTTTTTTTTATTTTTTTATGTTGCCCAGATGAGGATACGAAGTTCACATTGAAATTTTTTCATGGAGGGGAGATGATTGAAAGCTTGTCAAGGTATTACAGAGGGGGCTTTGTAGATTATTTTGATGGTGTTGATGGGGACATGTTGGGTCTTATTGAAATGAATGATTTTGCCAAACAATTAGGTTATGAGGAGCAAAATATTAGGTTTTGGCATCAATATGGTCATTCATTGTATAGGGGAGCAAAAATCTTGTCCAGTGATTCTGATGTGCTTGATATTATGAAGTTTATTCCTCTTAATAGAGAGGTTCTCATTTACATTGAACATTTAAACCATCCACAACCTATGCAGCCTTCTTGTTTGCCTTCTAGTTTACCTTCTACTTTGCATGAAGATGAAGAACCTGTTCTTGATTTTTCCTTTCTTGATGACATTAACACAGCAACACCACAAACAGAAGAACACTTTGATCCAATTGTAGAACATAATAGTGATGGTCATAGTGACAGTGATGATAGTGATGTGTTAATTGATTCTGAGTATGACATGATGGAGGATGATAGGTTGTATGAGAAATATGTTGATCATGATGTTGAGTTTGTTGGCTTAGGTAAGAGTTCCCACCCTCTGAAAAACATGTTGGGAGATGAAGTTAGTTCTAGATTAGAAGGGGACACATTAGAACCAGTCAATAGTAGTGATGAGCTTGAGAGTTTGGTTGGTTCTGATGAAGATGACTTGTGCATGCCAAAGTACCCCAAGTACAACCCTACTACAGATAGTAGGAAGCCAGCCCTTAAATTAGGACTGGTTTTTAGTACCAAAGCAGAGGCAAAGTCTGCCATTGAGACTTATTGCTTTAGGGCTGGGAAGTCAATTTTCTTTGATAGGAATGACAGCAGAAGGCTTAGGGCAAGGTGCAAGACTGATGGTTGTGAATGGAAAGCATATGTTGCTCCAATGCAACATGGCAGTACTTGGCAAGTTAAGGTGTTCAATGATGAACACACTAACTGTGCTTGGAGCTATAATAATTCTGCTATAAAGTCAACTTGGGTGGGTAAACATTTTATGAAAGAAGTCAAAAAAAATCCTAAGATACAAATAACAGGGTTTAGGGAACATGTGTGTTCTAAATTGAAGGCAAACATCTCCAAACATCAGGCTTATAAGGCCAGAATTGCTGCCAGAAGGCTTCTTGAGGGTGATGTGAAAGAACAGTATAGTAAGTTGAGGGATTATTGTGCTGAGTTACTGAGGTCTAATCCTGGGTCAACTGTGGTCCTCAAATTAATTGAAAATGAGGGTGTGGTCAATCAGTTTCATAGATTTTATGTGTGTTTTAAAGCTTGTAAGGAGGGTTTCAAAGCTTGCAGAAAGGTGGTTGGGGTTGATGGGTGTTTTTTGAAGGGGTGCTATGGGGGTCAGTTGTTGACTGCTTGTGGGATTGATCCCAACAACAACATGTTTCCAATAGCATGGGCAGTTGTAGAAGCTGAGACCAAAGATTCATGGCTCTGGTTTTTATCTCTGTTGGGGGATGATATTGGCATAAATGAGGCTGAGAAGTGGACCTTCATGAGTGATAAACAGAAGGGACTAATACCAGCTTTTGAGAGTTTGTTCCCAGAGGCAGAAAATAGATTTTGTGTTCAGCACCTTCATAGCAACATGAAGAAGGATGGTTTTTTAGGTTTGGCAATAAAGAAGGAACTGTGGGCTGCTGCAAGATGTACTAGGGTTGAAGAGTTCAAAGCAAGAATGGATAAATTAAAGTCTGTTGATCCTAAGGCCTATGAGTGGCTAGTGAAGAAGCCTCCAAATCAGTGGTCAAGATCTCACTTTAGTTTAACACCTAAATGTGATATCTTGACCAATAACATGTGTGAGAGCTTTAACTCACTTATTCTGTCTGCTAGAGAAAAACACATCATTGGGCTGTTTGATACAGTGAGAAACATCATGATGGCAAGGATGCATACCAACAGGGAGCAAGCAAAGAAATGGGATGGTTGTATCTGTCCTAGGATAAAAATGATTTTGGATGGGAACATGAAAAAGGCAGGAGAACTCATTCCTATGAGGTCTGATGAGTGGAATTTTCAAATCATGGGGCCTTTTGAACAGCACACTGTTGATGTTCTTGGAAGATCTTGTTCTTGTAGGAAGTGGGAATTGACTGGGCTCCCATGTAAGCATGCTATTTCTGCCATTTGGTGTAGAAAAGAAGAACCAGGGTGGTATGTTGATCATTTGTACACTGTTGAAACATATAGAAAGGCATATGAACTGCCAATATTAGGGATAAATGGTCCTGATTTGTGGCCTAATGTTGAGCTTCCCCCACCTATCCCTCATGCAATTGTGAAGAGACCTGGAAGACCTAAGAAGGCAAGGAGAAGAAATCCAACTGAGCCACCAAGTGCATTGCCTCATAATCCCCTGAGATTGAAAAAGCAGCAGAGGAGTGTGACATGCAGAGTTTGTGGAGAACATGGCCACAATGCTAGAAAGCATAAGAAGGCTGACCAAAATGAAGAACAAGAGGAGATCCCAGTGAGTGAATCTCAGCCTCCACCAGCTACTGACAATGTTTTCTCAAGTCAGTCACTTGCACCAACACCTGCAAACAACAACAATGATGTTGAAGCTAGCAGAAATAGGGTAATTTACCCTTTTTATCTTCTTTTTTAATTGTACATCATCCTCATTTACTATGTTTTTACTCTGTCTTTTGATTTAAACTTGTCAAATTTATTTTGTCTATTTTTATAGTCTCAGGAAAAGACAAGAACAACAAGGAAGAGAAAAAGCAGTCAGTTGGATGGAAATGGCAATGAGGATCAAAGACAGACTGTCAATGTGAGTTATTGTGTTATAGAAGTGAAAATTTTATTTCAGTTGGATTGGATTT